CTGTCAGAGCGGGTGCTCTGAGCCTCGCTGCTGTGGTGAATAAGGAGAGGGGAAATAAAGCTGTAAACCCCCGGTGTTTGTGCCCTTCTCTGTTACAAAGGGATCTGCCTTCTGTGCTTCTGTATCGGGTGTGAGTTTGAGTGTTTTCATGGAATCCCAGCCTGGTTTGGGTTAGAAGGGACCTTAAATCTCATCCAGCTCCAACCCCCTGCCCCGGGCAGGGACACCTTCCACTAGAGCAGGTTGCTCCAAGCCCCTGTGTCCAACCTGCCCTTGAACACTGCCAGGGATGGGGCAGCCACAGCTTCTCTGGGCACCCTGTGCCAGCACCTCAGCACCCTCCCAGGGAAGAGCTTCCTTCTAATACTGCATCTAAATCTGTCTGGTTTTGCTAAGAATGAACCCATAAAGTACTTTCACACGTGAGCTCCAAGTTAAACGTCTTTAAACATTGACAAAAGCAGAGAAAAAAGAAATCCTACATCTTTACAGCGTTAAACGTGACTGAGTGTAAGGAGGGGCCTTTGCCCATGAGCAGCCATTCCCCCTGTGGTCTCACCCTCCTTAACTGTGTCTCACCCATTCCTTCCTGCCCCTTCTCTCCCTTTGGCTTCTTTCTTTTACTGCGGAGTTTTTTGGCTGCTTATTTCCCTCAAGTCTGACTTTGTGGGCAGGTTACCAAAGGTTTGCTCTCAATGCCCAGTGTTTCAAATGCTCCTGTGTGTGTCGGTGGTTAAGACCTTGACCGAGACCCACAGTGTTGCTTTTTAGGAAGGTTTTAGCAGTGAATTCTCAGCCACTTCGTGTCAACTGGTTGTTGTATTTGTGTTCTAGCCACTGAGTATCACCTTGGCCTGCTGAAGGCGAAGCTTGCAAAATACAGAGCTCAGCTGCTAGAACCCTCCAAATCCTCAGCTGCTAAAGGAGAAGGCTTCGATGTGATGAAATCTGGAGATGCCCGAGTGGCACTGATCGGTTTTCCTTCCGTGGGTAAGGTCAGTGAGTGCCTGCAGGTTCCCAGTTTGGGTTAGTGGTGTCTAAAGCAGATATCCATCAGCTCTTCAACTCTCACCTTCTTGCCATGAGTTAACAGGAGGTTGTTGTATGCTGAGAGCTGAAGGTTAGAGCTAGGGAAAACCCTCCTTCTTCTTGTGCTCTGTGGCAGCAGCGTGAAGCTTGGTCTTGCCCAGCCACAGCACTGCAGAGAAAATAGGTGGGAGCGTGGGATTTATCATGGAATCCCAGAACGGTTTGGGTTGGAAAGGACCTTAAGATCATCCAACCCCCTGCCATGGGCAGGGACACCTTCCACTAGACCATGTCACCCAAGGCTCTGTCCAACCTGGCCTTAAACACTGCCAGGGATGGGGCAGCCACAGCTTCTCTGGGCACCCTGTGCCAGCGCCTCAGCACCCTCACAGGGAAGAACTTCTTCCTTATCTCTAACCTGCACTTCCCCTGTTTCAGTTTAAACCTATCACCCCTTGTCCTGTCACTACAGTCCCTGATGATTTACCCTCATTCAGGAAAGCACTGTTTGTCCCATCGCCGCTTTAGTCCCTGTGCCTGGAACAGCAAAACCCAGCTCCTAAGAGCGGAGGAACCCTTTGGTGTTCCTTGTTCTGCTGAACATCTACTTGTGCTTTCGATGGTGTCTCTCTAGTGATGCTCATCTCTTGCCTTTCAGTCCACGTTTTTGAGTTTAATGACCTCAACCGCCAGCGAAGCTGCATCTTACGAGTTCACAACCCTGACGTGTATCCCAGGAGTCATAGAAGTGAGTAGGATTCTCCTCCTTTTGCCATAGCAGTAGTAGCAAGAAACCCAGACACATAGATGACTCTGTTTGCACCAGTTATGCTTGTGCTGCCACTAAGAAGCAGTGATAGCCAAAGGTCTCTGCTGACTTCTGCTTTCAACTCTAGGATGTCTTGAGTGCTTGCAGGTCTTGTGCAACCTGCAGTGCTGATTTAGCACTTCCATTGCTCCATAACTCCTCAGGATTGACTGTCTGAGTGGGGTTTCATCTGCTGCTGTTTGACTGACCAGAGCAACACGACAATTCTCAGCTGAATTTTTAATACCCACTATTGGCAGCATTGACCAGATGGCTGGAAACCTTGACAGATTTGTTTTTAATGAAGCTTTAAAAGAGGCAATCTGTACTGTGATCAATTTAGGAAGGAAAATACAACTCCTCCTGTCCTTGAGGAGTTTTATTAGCGGTGGCCTAAGCATCCATCAGCAAAGCAAATGGTAAAGGGCATCAAACTGAAAAGTGTTCAAGAGTAATGACAAAATCGGGGTCAGAATTGAAAGCAGAGTTAAATAATGAAAGCAACTGTATTGGTGTGAACCCAAACACAAATATTGTGACACATCCAAATGCAGTTGCTAAGAGGGCTTTGCTGCAGTAACAGCGTGGAAGCTGATGCCCCCACAGATCTGATGATGAATGAAAGTCTCCCATTGCTTCCTGCTGCTGTAAGACCTGCAACACATCTGAGTAATTCTGAGTTGTCTCAGTAAGAGGTGGTGGCGCTTGCTTGTTACTGTGCTTCCTCGTTAGACCAAGAGAGTAAGGGGTCTCTCCCCTCTCCCTGGTGCTTTGTCCAGCTGCAGACGTGTTGCTTTAGGAGGTGAGGACCTAATGTACCACAGTACATGGTGTGTTGGACGCAGCTTCATAGGAAACACTCTGGAAGCTGCCTTGACAAGACAGAGCCATCAGCACTGTGCAGAGCTGTCCTGCTCTGTCAGGCTCATTCAGTTCCACCCTCTGTAGGCTTTGCACCATGTGTTTCAGGTTTTGGAAGCAGCTCAGGTGCCCTGCACAAGGCTTTCAACTTCCCACCCTTCTGTTTCCTTTCCAGTACAAAGGAGCCAATATTCAGCTGCTGGATTTGCCTGGAATCATCGAAGGAGCAGCACAAGGTTGGCTGATCTCTGTGGTCATGTCAAGCAGGGCTTTGCCCTCAGCAGTGTACCTGAGGTGTCTCAAACATGGGCAGGATTCCTGGGCCAATAGTTCCCGCGTTGGCTTTCCACATTTCAGGAGTCCTTGATCTTATGTGAGGCACGATTTTTATCCCTGAGCCCACGTATGGTTCTATATGTAGCAGAAAGCTGCTTTTCTGGAGGTGGGAGCCAAAGCAAGGCAGTCACTTCTCACCTTCTTGTGCGAGTGTTATCTTGCTCATCTGTTTTGTGGTGCAGAGGAAGTCTAAAGAAAGATGCTGGAGAGGCGGAGGGGGAAATTACAGCTAAACAGTAACCCCTTTTGACTCAGTTCTTCCCAGTCCTCCCATGACTCCTGATTCTGGGAGGGGGGTGTTGGCTTTATCCCTCTGTTTTGTCATTGTCCCTGTTGTCTGGTTGTGTCAGAAGATGCCTTAGGAAACTGCAGATAATCTCCTAATGGTCTCTTCTTGGAGGAGCATGGCTGGTTAATAAGGTCTCTCTCTTTTTGGACCACAAAATACATTGAACCCTTCTGCACAGGGGCCCTGGGCCCACATCTGGAGCTGCTGCCGTAGCATGTGTCTGGGGGTGGGTGTCCTGCTGTCAGAGATGTCATTTCCACCCGTGCAGCTGTACTCCAATAGCTCTGCACACTCTCAACCCTGTATCCTGTGGCAGAGGAGCAGCAGCAAAGAGTGTTTATTAGGGTTTGTGCTGGACATAACACAGTATGGATGGACCAGATACACTTGCTTGCGGCCACCCAGCAGCTGACTGCAGCCAGGGCAGCACTGTGGGATCTTTCTCCTTGCTTCCAAGCAGCAGGGCAGGGGTCCCTGTATGACATAGAACTCATAGCTGGTTTCTCTTGCTGATGTGGCCATCTCCTCTCCTCAGGGAAAGGCAGAGGTCGGCAGGTAATAGCTGTGGCCAGGACAGCAGATGTGGTTATTATGATGCTGGATGCCACGAAGGGTGAAGTGCAGAGGTGAGTGTGTGCTTCTGGGCTGTGGAGCTCTGGGGTGGTGGCCAGGTTCAGGGCTTCCTAGAGAACATGCCAAGTCCATCAGGTGTTGTGTCCCCAGCATGTTGGGGAACCAGTATTTAAGCTATTGAGTATGTACTGTGTTAGAAGTGTCCTAGCTAACTGGCTTGGGCTTCTCAGCTGAAGGGTTGTTCCCACAGGATGCCTGTTTGGAGACAGGGATGTCAACCTAGATTTCCACCATAGGCTCTGTCCTGTATTAGCCGTGGTTTCTAGGTTGTAGTGAAAGGCTTTATCAATGTGATAGTCAAAAAGGGAAGGGATGGGTGTCCCCTGGCCGTGCTCAGTCTCTAATGTGCAGTGTTCCTGCAGGGCCTTGCTGGAGAAAGAACTGGAGTCTGTAGGAATCCGGCTGAACAAAAGCAAACCAAATATCTACTTCAAGGTGAGGTTTCCTGGGCTGCTGCAAACACAGATGTGCCTGGCACCCTACTCAGAGCTGATGTCCCTGTGTGCTGCCCCTTGTGTTGGACAGACTGAAGGAGGGTTGTGGATTTTGCACTGTTCTGAAGCTGCTTTGTTGCCTCCCTGCAGCCGAAGAAGGGTGGAGGTATCTCCTTCAACTCAACTGTCACGTTGACTCAGTGCTCCGAGAAGCTGGTGCAGCTCATCCTCCATGAATATAGTATCCTTTCCTAACACAGGAGACCCATAAGCCAGCAGCAGCTCATGAATGCAGTGGTACCTGCTGTGGGACAGCCTTGCAGTGCCCTTGGTGCTTGCTGGGTTGACAGCCAGCTTTCCCAAGCAGGCTTTGCCTTCTGGCTCTCAGTGGTGTGTAGATATGTTGGGATTTGGGCCTTGACAGTGTTCACCTCAGAAATCTTCAACGCTGAGGTTCTCTTCAGAGAGGATTGTTCTCCTGATGAGTTCATTGATGTGATTGTAGGCAACAGGGTCTACATGCCGTGTCTCTACGTGAGTATCTCAGAAGCAGCCTGACTTCTGCCCGCACCATGCACCTCCAGCCTTTGCTGAAGGAAACGCTGGATCTTCCTGGTTCCTAAAGCTGGAATGATTTGGGATTTAAGTGTAAAACAGCTCCACAGGGAGCTTTTAATAAGCTTTCCATGCGTGGCTGTGCTCTGTGTGTTCCCTGTGCCCTCTTGTGGCTGCCTGCTGTGGAGCAGCATGAGAAGCTGCGTGTGCTGGTGCCATGGGGTTTGTTCCTACGGCACGGAGCCTTCCTGTGCTGCAAGCTCTGTGCTTGGGTTTTCCCTACTGGTCCCACGTACCAGAGGTCACTTAATGGCTCTGATAGCAACTGGGTCCATAGTGACATCAAAGATACTGGAGAACATGTTGCAAATCATCCCAAAGGATGAACTTTAAAAGGCCCAAACTTACATTTAGGCTTCTGAATTTTACCAGTTTGCTTTACCAAGAGCCTTGGCTTGTCCTGTGATTCACAGGATCTGGTTTCTGTTTCAGATGCTAGAACTGCCTTGTGATATACCTGCATGTACATGTCTTTCTTCCTTGCAGTATTGCTGAATTGACTTCCTAAAGGGTGTGTGGTTTCTTCTTTGACTTAGGTTTATAACAAGATTGACCAGATATCTATGGAGGAAGTGGATCGTCTTGCTCGGCGGCCCCACAGTGTTGTAATCAGGTAGGAGCCTATCGCACTGCCTCGTGTGCTGGTTTATTTCATACCCCTTTCTCCAGCTTCTCCCAAGGAAGGGCTGTTCCCAGGCTGCTTGGCTTCTCACACAGTCTAAGCTGGCTTAGAAGTGTGATATATCTGACTGGGGCTTTGCTGCTCCAAAGCTGCTCACCCTTCTGAAAGCCCTATTTATTTATTTCACCTTGTGCTTTTTCCTTTACTGGCCTCTTTAAAAGACTTTTCCCTTTGTCCCGTAACCCTTTAGAAAGATGTTTCACCTTGTTCTTGTGGATCTCTTAAATCACAACAGCAATAAACATGGAGATGTTGCTGGTGTTTTGCAGCTGTGGCATGAAACTGAACTTGGATTACTTGCTGGAGAAGCTCTGGGAATACCTGGCACTTACTTGCATCTACACCAAGAAACGAGGACGTAAGTGACCATTAGCTGAACAGAAGGTTTGAAAGGCACAAAGGGTCACTGCTCATCCAAGGCAGACAGGCTGCTGGTGGGTGCCAGGCTGTCAGTGATCTCGTGTGTCTTGGAAATGCTGCAGTTTCACTCTCCCTAAGCAGCTTTCAGCTCCTGGCCAATGCTTTCTGTTCCACCTGATCCAGCCATGTGTGTATCCTGTTCTCTGTGCACTAAGAGCTGAGCTAAAATGGGAAGTTCAGGCTGGATGTAAGGAAGAAGTTCTTTACTGTGAGGGTGCTGAGGCACTGGAATGGGTTGCCCAAAGAAGTGGTAAATGCTCCATCCCTGGCAGTGTTCAAGGCCAGGTTGGACAGAGCCTTGGGTGACATGGTCTAGTGTGAGGTGCCCCTGCCCATGGCAGGGGGATGGAACTGGATGATCCTAAGGTCCTTTCCAACCCAAACCATTCTATAATTCTGTGATAATATAAGGAAATAAAGTGTGAAGTTCACAGCTTTCTTCCTTATTGTGGACACTGCTGAACTGTTCCACCTATCGCTACTTAGAACAGGTCTCTTGTGAGAGGTTGGGTGATTCCCATGCCAGGCTCCTGAGGCTCAGTTGTGCCTTTGATTCTCCTTTTGCCTTATAATTCATTTGTGCCTTCATCACTGGGAGAAGCTGCGTCTATAACTTCACAGAATCCCAGCCTGGTTTGGGCTGGAAGAGACCTTAAAGCTCATCCAGTTCCAACCCCTGCCACGGGCAGGGACACCTTCCACTAGAGCAAGTTGTTCCAAGCCCCTGTGTCCAACCTGGCCTTGAACACTGCCGGGGATGGGGCAGCCACAGCTTCTCTGGGCACCCTGTGCCAGCGCCTCAGCACCCTCACAGGGAAGAGCTTCTGCCTAATGTCTAATCTAAACCTCCTCTCTTGTTCCTGTTTGGTTGGGAGAAGCTGTACCTCTGAACTCGGGTGGATGTGGGGAGATGAAGGAACTTTCAGTGAGCTTCTTAAGCTATGAAATCTCAGGGATTTTGCAGAAAACAGCAGTAGTTTGGTTTTACTTGAGTGGGTGTGTTTTGACTTGGGTGGATTTGTTTTTCCTAAGCCAAGTATTAGGAATGGAGTTGGAACAGGTTTGGAGGAAGGTATTGGCCATGTGGCCTGGGCAGCTCTACTTGTGGGTATGGGGTGTCTACAGAACAGAATTGATGCTTTCAATACCCAGATACCTGTTTGTCTGGGAGCTGGCAAGTGTAACAGGAGGAGGAATTTGGGAGTAGTAATGTGAGGTTGTGTCAGCATATTAGAACACACTTGATGGTAATCACATCCTTTTTCTTCCTCCCTCTCCTGCTTCTCCACAGAGAGACCAGACTTTACAGATGCCATTATTCTACGGAAAGGGGCCTCTGTGGAGCATGTGGTAATTTCTCTGCATCTTTTATGTTTCCTTGTCTGTAGAAGGCATCTTCCTCTTGGAGTCTGCTATGATTTGTGCTTCATAAAGCTCAGGATGTGTCAGGGTCACTTGGGCTTCTCCTTTTGTTACCTTTACTGATTCCATCTGCCTCAGGTTGCTTTGCTAGCTGCTATGTAAGGCTAAAAAAGATAACTTAATGCAGTCCAGTGAAAAGCACATGGGAGCAGTGGAATGGGGCTTTATGTGGGCTGGTGATTCCTGTGTGTCTCTTCTGTATTCTTCCAAGTGCCATTAACTGGCTCCTAAAGTCACTGGTGTAATTTCTGCCATAGAGTTGAGTTCCTTTTGCTTCCTGGCTATTGAGCAAGTTGTTTGTCAAGGCAAAGTAGTGTCACTGAAGTGCCTCACACACTGTCTGTCTGTCTTGCAGTGCCATCGGATCCACAGGTCGTTAGCCAGCCAGTTCAAATATGCCTTGGTGTGGGTAAGTGCTTAACAGCAAATGACATCCATGTCCTGTGGTGTCTCTGGTCTTCTCCTACCTAACCCTTCTCCCCTTTTTGCTTTGAAGGGGACAAGCACAAAATACAGCCCTCAAAGGGTGGGCTTAACCCATATGATGGAGCACGAAGATGTCATTCAGATCGTAAAGAAGTAACTCGTTGCTGGTGCCTGGCCTCGTCTGTAATCACTACAATTGGAACTGACCACATAAAAGCAAAAGAAAACAAACAAAAAAAGAAATTAACAAAAAAAAAGAAAAAGAAAAAGGAAAGGGGAGACGTGTTCCAGCCAGGAAAGCTTCTGTGAAGCTCCTTCTCTTGGAGAAAGGCAAAAGCTGAGGCTACTCTACTGTACGTGCAGGTGGGGATGGGGAAGATGAGGTTCCATCAGGTGAAGTGTTGTGTCCTAGAAGAAGTGGCTCTTATTTTTAGGAGACAGTTCCCACAGGTAGTGATGTCCTGCTCCTAGTAGGGACAGGGTTTGCACATGGATCCATGTGTTAACCTGCATGTGGCTTGTGTAACCAGTGGGTTTGTGAGAACAAACCTGGCCCTGTGCTTTGGGACAGGGAAGCCAGGGCTGAGGGAACATTGCTGATGCTTTGCTGCTTATCCATTCACTTAAATTAAGCATTGATCTGAAAGAGAAATGAAGTTCTCCCTCCTCTGCTCACTGGAATCATTGTCTCTGCAGCTTTCACCGCTGAGACTTTGGTCTCTGCATCTGAGACAACCCCTGGTAAAAATTTATCATGGTCCCACCTCAGTTAACATGAAGCCATGGCACTCTGTGCCTCTCCTTAGCTCTGCAGTAGGGTTTGTAGGACACCCTGTTCCAGCTGGTGCTGAGAGAGATGAGGAATGGGACTTTGCTAATGAATGATTAACCTGGCCAAACTGCAGCAGGGTACGATCAAAGAGCCATTGTCTGCAGTGAGGAGGCTCTTGTGGCATATTGCTCATCGAGGAGCTCCTTTGCTCTTGTGTCCTTTGCTCATCCTGCCCATTAGGCCTCAAGAGTCTTGCTGGGGATCTCCTCCTTTCTCAGTCATGCCCCTCAATTCCAGTAACAGCTCTCTGAGCTCCAAGTACCACCCCATGCATGGGTTTCACCCCAGCCCTGTAACCATTGTTGCTTGTCTGGCTATTTTTCATCAGAAATCTGGGATTTTTCTAATCATGCTTTTTTCCTTCAATACTGATGCTAAACAATTGAGAGTGCCTGATAGAGAACAGCTCTTTCCTTCTGGGATCAAGAGTTGCCAATAGCTTTTATTTTCTTTCATGGAAAAAAAGGGGTTCGGTGTGATGTGGATCCTTAACTGTGAGGACAGGTCTGATGGCAAACTTGTCTGAGCAGGGCTCCTTCCCTCTCCTTTGTGCTCCTCCCCACCCTCACACACTGATTGAGCAGAAATGGAAGGATTATTTTATTTGAGGAAATAAAAGTTGCTATTTCATGTGAACTGTGGGTGTCTGCCTGCAGTGGGCAGGTGGTTTGGAGTGTTTTCTAACTCTCTGCTTTGCCTTTGGCCACCTGAGGAATCCTGGATGAGGTTGTAGCAGGGAATGGATTGTGAAGCAGCTGCAAGAGGGCTCTGAGGCTGGAGGGCACTTGCGGAGGAGTGGTGGGAGATAAATAGGTATTACACACAATGCCCAAGCTAAGAAGGTGACTTTGAACTCTGTGAGTTCCCTTCCCTGCTCCTGGCTTTGTTCACAGCTGGGGTGCAAGGACAAATCCAGGCCACGGAGGCAGCAAGTGGAGAATGAGCTCCAAATTAGCCGCATCCCGCCTGAGCTGGCTGTGGAAAGCAGGAGCTGCTCCGTGTCAATCAGGTGGATGCTGTTCCAGTGCATTAACTTGCCCTTTACATTTCCCATCAAGGTTGCACAGAGTTACCCACACAAAGACTTCTTTTGGCTTCATTTTGTCCCCGGGTTTCTGACTTTTCACTCCAAGCCCTGGCACATCAGTGGGCAGCGAGAACCTCTGAGGGCTCCATCCTTAGGCCACGTAGTGCGTGGTGCTGGGAAGATACTTGGTGCTTGTGTGAGGCTGAAATGCTCAGTATTACCTGCTAGAATGTGTCCTTGGTTGGTGCCTGCTGTGTTTGGGTGTCAAAATGACTAATCCAGTGTGCCATCATTAAAAACCCTCTGTCTAATTACTTTTCCTTTAGGAAATTGGGCGTTTTATCCTGTTAGAGATGAACTCCTGCTAGATGATTAAATTTGGAATGGGGATGAAGTAAAAATAGTGAAGGCAGAAGAAGCTAACTTCTTTTTTTAGTGAGAGTAGCTTCTTGCAAGCCAGTTTATGGCTGTATTTGAAGACACATTTAATTGCAGCCTTCACTTTTCCAGACGGCTTCCCTAATTGTTCTGCACTAACGTTAAAAGCTGCCAACATTGCAGTCGGGTGCAGGTTTGCCTGGTAGTCTCTCTGAATCCTGAGAAAGCAAGATCCAAAGGGCAGGGAGGGGGAATCTCTGCAGCATTAGGATTGTTCTGGAGCCTCCTGAGGGTTATGGAATTTGGCCAGACCCTTCTTTAGGTTTGCGGGATGCTCAGAGCATCCTCACTGCGTGTGTTTGGGGAAAGGCAGGTTCTGGTGGGAGGATGAGGGGTGGTTGAAAAGAATAGAATGGTTTGTGTTGAAGGGACCTTAAAGCTCCTCCAGTTCCAACCCCTGCCACGGGCAGGGACACCTTCCACTAGAGCAGGTTGCTCCAAGCCCCTGTGTCCAACCTGGCCTTGAACACTCCCAGGGATGGGCCAGCCACAGCTTCTCTGGGCACCCTGTGCCAGCGCCTCAGCACTCTCACAGGGAAGAACTTCCTTATATCCAACCTAAATATCCCTGTTTAAGTTTGCCTCCAAGGAGCAGCATCCACCTTTTCCCTGCAGTAGGAGGGCAGGCTGGGCTGGGTGATGCTCAGAGCAATGTGCTCTTGTGTTCTGCTCTCCCATACTGCAGCCTCCCGCCATTCCTCTGCTCTTTAAGCCATCTCCTCTTTCCTTAGTGCCATACCCTGCTCCCTGCATGGATCCTGCCCTATCCCTGGAGCACACCCTGCATCACCACTGGGCATCACTCCAGCTGGGAAGCGGGATGAATCGGCTTTGATACAGCCCATCAGCCACCCTCCATCTACAGTGGAATCAGCGCCGGCCCGAGGCGTGCTTTGTTTCAGACGCCTGTTCCAGGCAATCGAGCAGGTTGGATTGGCTGAACGCTCCCTTTTAGAGCATAATTTAGTCAGGAATCGCTTTGCAAGGTAATAAAAAGAGCCTCTGCCTCCAAATCCATTCATTTAATTCAATGAGAGGCAGTTACTGCAGTGGGCTCGCCTCGGCCCCATCACGCTGCCATCCTCAAGTGCTGCTCAGGGCTGTAGATAAGAGTCACGCTCCGCAGTGACAGCTTAATTGTTTCAAATGCTGACAAGGGTCACCCCGAGCAGCCATCGGGAGGCTGCCGAGGGGAGGATTTATGGCTGGCAAATAGGTTTGAATTCCTCTGGTTGCAGCCTGCTAAATGATGAACCTGCCCCGTGGGGATTGGGGCTATTGATTGTAATTTGCAGTTAAGGCCTTGCTTTCTGAGGAATCAGCATAATAAATACCCACTGCATTCCAGCAGGGACGTGTCTGCGTGGAGGAGGAGGAGGAAGCCTGCAGCAGGATGCTCGTGCTGGGTTTGGAGAAGGAGAAAGGGCTCCCTCACAGCTGGAAAATGGTTTCTAGTTTGGTGTGATGCAGGAAGCTGGTGTCAGAGCGGGGAGGATGGAGCTTTGAGGCACTCGGATGCATTATGAAGGCAGGTAGAGATGCCCTGCTCACCCCAGTGGTATTGTTGGGATGATGGGTGTCTAGATCCCTTCTCCAGCCCTCCTTTGGAGAGGGATCCGAGTGGGGGGGGTGTGTGTGTGTCCATCCCTGCGTCCCTGTGATTCCTCCTCTTAAACTTGCATTGTTTTGTGGCCATTCACCAGCTGTTCACATCTGGGCTCGGTGACAGAGGTGGCACAGACCTACATCCCAGTGGGAAGGGGGCTTTGGGACTGTCACTGGGCGAAGGGAGGGATGGAGGGACCAGAGCTGCTGCCTCCCCACCGCTCCCCAGCCCTGCAGGGGGAAGATCAGCTCCTGTCCCTGCGCTCAGGAGTGGAGATGAGCATAATAGCGCTCATCAAATATGCATTGGGCAGCAGCGCCCGCAGCTGCCTGCAGC